CAAAACGTCACCCACCAAATCTTCGATCTCCATTTGCACCAATGGGGGATGGATTTTTCAAAAAGTGTGAAACACCCCTCAAATGAATTTGAACATACTTCTTTAAAAATGAGTTTGCGGCCGATCGGATCGTTAACAAAAAACTTTCATATAACAGTTTTCCGCCAATTTACCACTGTTGCGGGTGGAATTTCCCAAATCGCTGAAATGCGTATTTATTAAGTTCTTATGTAGAGCTTTGAAAAAAAGTTTGAAGCAATTAAGACACAACTTAAAATTTCGCCCAAAAAATCTTTAAATCGCATTCCCCTCGAAGAAGTTTGAATTCTGCGAAAAGTGTGAAACACGTCCAATGATTTTTCTTATAGATCTTTGGAAACGAATTTGAGCGCGAAACGTCACCCACCAAATCTTTGACCTCCATTTCCACCAAGGAGGAATGGATTTTCCTAAAAGTGTGAAACACGCCTCAAATGAATTTGAACAAAGATCTTCGAAAATAAGTTTGAGGCCGATCGGATGGTAAACAAAAAAGTTTCATACACACGTTTTTCGCGATTTTTACACACTTGCGGGTGGAATTTCCCGAAACCCCGTCTTAACGTGCACCTAAATCACATAAGGTAACTACAGTGAAAATTTTAGCTTCCTAGCTCTTACGGTTTGGGCTGTGCGTTGATCAACAATCAGTCAGTCAGTCAGTCAGTCAGGACAAACAGTTTTATATATCAAGTTTGATGTTTGATTTATTAGTATTCTATTTCTGGCTAATAGTGTTTCATACAAATGCGGTGTGTCAACCAATTCATTTCTTCTTGCTTTACTTATTTCGTTCACCGTGCCGGTGAGTTTATTAATTTATGTCTGTGGTTGTGTATTAATGACTACCTGCCTATTGTTCGCATTAATTAAATTTGACTCGGACCACCTTACTATTTCGAAATCAGAGGCGTCTGGCGTGCCTGCTATTACCTTGAGTGCTCACGAAGTCTTAACTTCTTGCCAGTCTGTGGTGCATTTTACTGCGGACAATAGATTTCTGATATGCTCTGTATCCACGTCTAGCAGTTTTCGCATGAGCGACTGAGGGAATAATTTGGTTCATTTTACTGTTTCATCTGCTATGCTAGCGAGGTCTGTTAAATTGCTTGAGTGCTTCAGAAAATCACGTTGCTCCCATAACAGTACCTTTCCATCGATTACCGGGATATAGTTGGAGTGGGAGTAGTTGATAATCCGACCATGTATTACTCCTAACACTAGTAGGATTGCAAGTCCATTCCTGTAAAAGAAAAGAAGCAAAGAATGGAAGTTGTTGTGCGCTTTAACTCTTAAAATGCTATTTTAGCTTGTGTGATTTTTACCTGAGATCAACAATCATTTAAGGTTGTCTTTATGGACCACCCTCCCTCTAATAAGAACAGACGTTCCCAGGTCTACTTAAATTGTTTCTTCTGTGCAAAGCGGTGTTAACTTTTTTCCTAACCTTCTGTTATTTTTTACGAAAACTTTTTTGCCTACCTCAAATACCCTGTTTTGTCTATTCGGGTTGGATCTTTTATAGCTATCGTGCTGGGCCTTTGCAATTTTATTTTTAATGGCCTGCCAAAGTTCGTTAGACGCTGCGTGTATTATGTCGATGGTGTCTGGACTGTGACCGAATGTATGGATCGGTTGTACGCGATTGTTGCCCTTAGTATCAATTCGACTGTATCGTCAGACACTTTTTTAGGCTAAATGCTCGGGCTATGTCTGCGAGTGTGCTGTGAAAACGTTCGACCTGGCCATTTGAGCAACTGTGTAGCGCGTTCACAATGTCGACGTCGTACCCGTTTTTTTACCGCACCCTGTTAAAAGAAGCTTCGTTATTGCAATAAATTGTCTTGGTCTGTGGGAATAAATTCAACAGCTGAATGAATAATTATAATAATAATAATTAGTAATTTCCTGTGCGGCTCTGTGCGCGCGGTTATTTCGATTTTTTAATTTTTATCTGTAATGTCGACTACGATATTTTTGCAGTACCCGAATTTGTTTTGCCGGAAAATTTAGCACCAAATCATGTTGTATACTGGCTAGTGCTGGTAAATCGCAGTGTATTGCGTTTACCGCGTCTGTGTTGATGAGTGGTCCGATTGTATCGAATTAATGGTTTGCGCCAGTGAAGTTTATAAGGTGGCGTATATTTTTGCCAAAGAGTATGATAAATCGTTTCAATGGGATTTTCGCGTCTTCAAGAACAATTTTATTTTTGAAACAGTTTAAAGGCTTTTCAGTCGTTTCGATCGTGTAGGTCAATGACATTTCGCTATGAATCGTTGCTGACTGTATATCGATTTGTAAGGCGTTTACATTTTGACGAGACAAGGCATCCGCCAAGTAATTTTCTTTGCCTGGTTTGTGAAACATCGTTTGATTTTGGCATTCGTGTTTCTATCTGAGACAGCAAAAGTAAGGGGCTGATGATCAGTGAAAATATTTATTTCTCTTGTCCCATAGAGGTAATTTTGCAGTTTACCTAGAGCCCAGACAATAGCTAGCAATTCTCGCTCATTCGTGGCGTAGTGTGTCTCGCTTTGCTTTAGCGTGCGTGAAATCATGGAAATAGGTCTGCTCCCTTGGGATAGGACTGCACCGATGCCATCCATTGAGGCGTCAGTAGTTAGGTCAAAGGGTTGCTTGAAGTCTGGGTAGCTTATGAAGATGCATGCCATCTTCTAATGCCAGAATATTCCTCAGGCTTTCGAAGGCATTACGTTGAATTTCGTCAAATTCAATCGTGACCTTTTTGGCCATATGTTTGCTCACCGAGCCATTTTCTCCTTTGAGAATATTGGTTAGAGGCGTTGCTATTGCTGCGAAGTCCTTAATAAACCCACTGTAGTAACTAGCTAACCCCAGAAATTATCGCAGGCTGAACAGATTTTTTCGGCTCAGTATACTCTTGTATCGCTATGACTTTTTCAGGGTCAGTCTTTGCCCCGTTTTGGGTCACCAACAATAATAAGAATTCGACGCTCCCTTTAAAGAACTTGGTTTTCTCTTGTGCTACTCTCATGTTGGCATCGGCCAAGCATTTTAAGATTGTGTCAATATGTTGCACATAGTCAGTTTCGTTTTTAGAAAAGATTATTACGTCATCCACATGAACGTAACATATTTTTCCTATGTGTTTCCTCAGGATGTCATCGATGGCTCTTTGAAACATACTTCCTGCGTTTTTCAAGCCAAAAGGCAGACGGCAAAATTCATATTTCCCGCCGTTCACTGCGAATAACGTTTTCTCACGGTCTTGATTTTCCTAGATACGCTAGAATCATTGGAATATTCGGCATTGGATATCGATCGGCTATAGTTCGCTCGATTAGCTTCCTAAAGTCGATCACTAATCGTTTTTTGTTTTTGCTGCCATTACTGTCAAGGGCTTTTTTGTCAACAACCCATGCTGGGCTGTTGTATGGGGACTTTGATGGTCTAATGATGCCATCTTTAAGTAACTGCTTGATTTCGTTATTTACGAAATCTGAAACTCTCATTGGGTTGGGTACAATTAAGTGCAGATTGACTCGTTGTGCGGATTCTAGCAATGACTGAGGTATTGAATGGCAACGCCTCATTTGGGGTCGAAAACACTTTTAGTCTTTTCAAAATCATGCTTCTGAATTCCTTTTTGACGGATGTAGGCACTGTTATGTAATCCACATCTGTGAAGTTTACACTGTCACAGTAATGATACTGCAACTGCTCGGATTTGTTTTTGTACCCTGAACCCATCGAAAATGGGTAAAAAGAGTATAATGTATTTGTGCAAATGTATGTAACAGGCAGAAGGAAGCATCTGCCACCCTATAAAGTATATATATTCTTGATCAGCATCATTATCATCAGTCGGTCCGGATGTATGAACGCTAGAATCTCAGAACCTATAAAAGTTAGAGACTTGAAATTTTAGCTGTAGGTCCTCCTAGTCCCCGCGCAGATCGAGTTTGTTTCCGATATTCGATAACTTGCCCGTTTCCAAGTAATCGATAAAAATCGATATCCAAAAATTTTATTTTTTAATTTGTTTGTATATAAAAAAAGCTAGAGTCACCAAACTAGAGATTTAGCTTCAAGAATAGTATATATGTATTCATAAAGTATCTTTCATTTTATACCATTCGCCACCTCCCCGCTACCACCACAAAGCTATAAACCAAGTTAATTGTCCAACTTGTATTGCCCATCAATTTAAGCAACAATTTATATGCAATTGACTTTTTGAGAATTCACAAATATTCTATATTCTATTCTACAATAAGATGTGCTGTCGAAAATTTCATTAAGATTGGTTAAGAAACACAAAGGTTATGTGCGCACGTGCTAGCAGCAGCTAGCGCAAATTCCAAGAATTTCTGTATACATGTACACACACACATTCATGCGCGTCTGCTTTGAATTCTATCAACAGTACTGCAATTGTATTGTTTCTGTGCATCTATTTTAATGGGTTTTTTTCTCATTAAAACTCAATTATTGGTGTGGCTCTTGATTGGAGGCGGCGGCAGGTGGTGCGGTTAGTTGCGAGTTCGAACCCTGCCAAGGGAAACATTTTATTTGTATTTTAATTTTTCCTTATTACTACTAAAGCAAACGAGCGCGTAGCTCGAGCTGTATTTGTTGTTGGAAGAAGAGGGTTCAGGGTATCCCCTAGTCGGGAGCTCCCGACTAGAACCTATTACTTGTTTGTTATAATCTTGGTGGCTGTTATTGCCCTACTGCCTTTTGACGAAATGAGGGTTTCTCTCACCGCCACGATCATCTCTATTGTTTTTGCCTTGTTTCGCTTGCGGTCGATTTTTATTATCTTCTCTCTCTGCAATGGCTTTGGCGTAGGATGCGGAAAACATACTGGTCTCTATGCTCGATTCTGCTTCCCTGGCTAGTGCCAATGCAGATGCTAAGTCTTTCCGCTGTGCCGGAAGAACAATTTCGTTAAGGGACTTTTTCAGTCCAGAAATAAAGGCGTGGAGTGCATCTACTCTGACTTCACAATTGAGCAATGTAGCCTGCTCCGCCTCGTGAGACATTACAATTTTGTTTGTAACTAGGGTCAAATTCCTTTCGACCTTATCATAATATTCCACGAAGCTTAATTCACGTTGTCTAACCATTTCGAGGTTTTGCCGCAAAAGGCGTAGCGAAGATTTATCTGCATATAAGCAATCTAACCTAGCTATGATTGCGTCGAAAATAAGGACTGTATTGTGAGACCCTAGCACTGCCCTAGCTGCGCCCCTGATTTTATTTCTGATGATCGTTACCGCTTGGTAATGCGTGCACCTGCCATTAAATGGCTTGAACAACTCGTACGCGTCTACGGCCGATTGTCTCCATGCTACATATTCGTCAGATCCCCCACTAAACTCGAGAACTGATTTGATTATATCGAGAGGAATATCGCATCTGATTTCTAAGCTCACTCTGTTCCTGCTGCGCCAATGCTTGCCTGACAGTGTTCTGCACTAGCTCTTGTGCTTGATTTACATTCATTTCGCTTTGTGTGGGGCTATCACTAACTTCAATGTTCACTTGATAGTCGCTTTCCTCTGGATCCCACTCTGTTTCACTGTCGCACTCTGCTTTAATATTTTTAATCTCTTCTAACCAGCTCATATGCGCTATTATTTTACAACGAAATTTTCATGTTGCCACGAAATGCACTAATTGATATGGACCGCTTTTTAATCCTTTCTAAGGGTGCAGATTCTCGTTGGTTGAGCGCCAATTAAGAAGTTGCCGTCCTGCGCTGTTGAAGGATGCCTAACAATGCGTGTTAACTTGTATGTGGTCCAACGCAGTCGGCCGCTGTCCAGGGTATCTCGCAGTCAATATGCGAGGAGATTGTAACAAGTCTTCTCACGTTGATTATGTTGGGAGCTTTACTTCGCTCTCTAATCGCTGGCCTTGTATCAATAATAAGAACGTATGCTATAACGGCAAAGCCGGAGCAAGTATATTTATTGAAAGTTAGATACAAACTAAACCTGACTTAAAACTTGAAGCATTGAATTGAATTTGAACCCAAAGGCTGGGCGCATAAGTCTCAGCTGCTATATCCGGCAAGCCGAATCAGCATACGCCAACACAGTCGCTTGCGACATAGGCAAGTGTTAGGTTACCGTTGCTGGCCGCAGTGGCCGGGCACTGAACTCATGCGTCAGCAGAACGTCGCAATGTTAGCAAAGTGCACTGCCACATTCTTGCGTTTTTATAAACAAAAGTGTGTTCTTATGACATAAATATGAAGTGCAGTTCTTATGTGTTAACTTATATATACTTTATGGGGTCGGAGATGTATCCTTCTATGCGTTACAAATTTCACGACAAAATTATGATACCCTCTGTAAGGGTATGATGAATGGAGGGAAATATGTTGAAAAACAAAAAAAAAAAACGTTCCATGCATCTTAATTTTCGACCGATCGTTCCTATGGCAGCTATATGATAAAGTGGTTCGATGTTGATAGGATTTATATGCATATATATGAGGAGCATAGATAAACTAATAACTGCCGAGTTTGGTCGAGATATCTTGATAAACAAAAATGTTTTTCATACAAGAACCTACTTTTCGACCGATCGTTCCTATGGCAGCTATATGATATAGTGGTCCGATCCAGCTGCCTCTGCCATATGTACTGCGTGCAACAGAAAGAGGCACTTCTGCGAAGTTTCATTAAGATAGCTTTAAAACTGAGAGACTAGTTCGCACAGAAACAGACAGAAGGACAGACATGATCAAGAATATATACTTTATGGGGTCGGATATGTCTCCATCAACGCATATGTCTCCATTTGTCGCATTTCGCGACAAAATTATAATACCCTTTGCAAGGGTTTACAAACAGTTCTCGAAATTTATTTATTGAGCATTTTACTTAGCTTTTAAGACACAATTCACAAAATTTGACACGATGCTGTTAGTACAGTATATGCCATTTTCCGATTTTACGAATCTACGGATTTAGAAACACAAAAGTTTTAAAAAACACGTTAGCGTGTCACGACCAAATATGACTGGGTGCATATGCACACATATACATATGCGTGTATCTCTATTTTTATACCCTGAACCCATTAAAAATGGGTAAAAAGTGTATAATGTATTTGTGAAAATGTATGTAACAGGCAGAAGGAAGCAACTTCGACCCCATAAGGTAAATATATTCTTGATCAGCGTCAATAGCCGAGTCGATCTAGCCATGTCCGTCTGTCTGTCCGTCCGCCGTCCGTCCGTATGTATGAACGCAAGGATGTCAGAACCTATAAGAGCTAGAGACTTGAAATTGTAGCTGTAGGTCCTCCTAGTGCCCGCGCAGATCGATTTGATTCCGATATTCGATAACTTTCGCCG